GGAAATACCAAGGGGTAAGCATCAATGCAAATGGACAAAAAACATTTGACTAAAGAAAACGCATTTCCACCACTGCCGAAATGGCCCCAATGGTGTTTGTCTGCACATTTAAATGCACATTCTAGTCTATGAAACAAATTATCTCACAAGTTTATCTATGTAGAATCATTTTTCCGTGACCAACTAAGTAATTTCCTTGCAGCCCTTCCATTTGTTTCCATGTGTATCTGTAGCCCAATCGCTTTGTTGAATTCATTTATTGATCCTGAAAAGCTCATTGGACGTTAATTGAACACAGTAATGTGAATTATTCGGTAATATGCTTACAAATCAGACGAAGCGTATTACGAATCATCTTTTAATCTTACTATTATACCTAAAAAATAACAAATATATTAATTTAATTATTCGAATTACATTTAAAATAATAAATGCAATGGCAAATTTTCTCTTAATTTAAATTATTTCATTCTTAGCGGACATTTCAGTCTTTTACTATATTTGCGTCGTTATCTCTTTCTTTAGCCTCATATCATGCATTCATTATTTTGCTTGACCTAGTAAGTAGTTATTGATTTCCTAAATTCCGATTTCGTTAAAATAAACTTATTATTTATAAATCGGAATATTTTGAAATCTGTTTATAGGGTCATTATGATCAGATTGACAGTAGCCCTCGCTTTAAGAAAAAATTCCTACTTCCTGCGAGTATATACAAATGCAATATTAATCAGTTGCCTCATGCTCCTTGTCATATTTAAAATAGCACATATCTTAATAACGTAAATATTTAGTAAATTTGAATATTTGTATAAGAAAGCAGATTAATATCTGGTAGAACATCTTTACCAAAGCCTTAATTGGAATTGCGGTTTGCTTATGTATTAATGAGTTTCATCATCTAAGTTTGCCGACTGCCAACAAAATTTCAAACGCTTTGGCAATAACAATAATAATTTAATTTATTGATTCAAATGCCCTTTGTTACTAAGATTTGTGGCAGTTTTGTAGATAAAGGTTACTGGGGTTAGAACGTTTACCTGTAGCCCCAAAGATCATACCTCATAAAGAGTGTCATTTGTTCAATTGAGGGTAAAATGCGCTTTCCTACTGTTAATGGCAAATGGATTCATTTTCAAAATTATGATCTTTTGCATATTTGACTACGAATTAAATGTTGCAATATTGAAATGATCCCAATAATTTACTATATTCATTCAGACTCTTATTTATGGTACTTTCAGCTTCAAAATCTATTTATAGTTCATTATCATTGCTACAGCAAATATCAACAAGTTATAAATGAAACCTTGAATTTTATATCATCATACTTATTTAAAATGGCAGAATTTAGAATATTTATTATTAGCACCATGGTTAAATCAGGCATTCACAAGTGGAGGAAGTGAATATATATTTAGGCTTTAGGACAGTTAAAAGCAGTTCAAAAGTTGATCTTTGCTTTCCAAAATCTCTGGGTTTCAGAAATTGTGTTTAGAGCTGGACACCGAATCAGGCAGGTTTTTTTCCATTTTCTCTAGATTTTCAATTAGAGGCATGCTGGCCGAGCGTATACTCCTGTTCGGTGAATGCCCTTCGCCAAGCAATCATGTCCGGTACGCAGTCTATGCATAGCTAAATTGTAGTCCTCATCTTAGCCAATGCATTTGCACGCTCATTGCCAATAATGCTACATTGTCCAGTGATCCACTGTAGGAGCATCGTATGGTTTTTTGCTCTCTTTAACTGATAGAAATTTTTTTCAATCGCATTTCATGGCTGTTTAGTGCGGTCCTCTGTTTTCAATTGAATTTGTTGCTGACTGTGAGACCGGAAGATTTAATGATTTTGTAATATGGCATTATTGTTGTTTAATCTCATGAGTAAATTATTTTCACAATTTAGATGGTATGAATCAGGTAATAGGGAGTAATATTTTAACTTTGCCTGCAATCCACAACAGAGCTTCGCGACACCAAATGACAACACCTCTGACACCTTTCAAAATGATGTGCAAGTGCTACCCCAAAATATGAACACAAATTTAACTTATCCTAAGTATGTCACTTTTTTAAAAATATGAATATATTAAATCCCCTTGATTGGTGTTAAGTTCAAAAAGAATGATAACTATGCAGCATACATATTTCTGTGGCGTTATTTAAGCAGAAATTTGTATTCATGAGATGATGCCTTTTTACTAGTAATAAGCTAAGTTCGGGAAATTGCATTGTTTCACAGATTTAGGCTATTTGTCCATACGATTATACTTCCGTTTAAAAAAGATCACAGTTTTATCTCTTACTGGAAGACTCAGTCTCTTTCCTGTATTGCTGGGCTACATATTAGCTAGTTCTATTAGTCTAGCTAGATGTAGAAGAATCTACCACGAAGATATCTGAGTCAGCTAGGCTTTACTAGTTCGCCACTGACCTGAAATAGACAATAAGCGTTAATGAAAAAATTAGCTATGCATGCCAGAATGATCATAGCCATACTAAAATTGACAGTTCATTAAACAAGGATACTTCAAATTGATGAATTTATATCTTTAACGAATTTTCAGACCACCTAGTTAACATGCACATTGCACTCTACCTATTTGGCAAAAACATAAGTAATAATGTCATATAAAAGCAGGAATCATATTCGTCAATCTATTTGAGTTATTCATTCTCCCACATTTTTAAACCCCTTCAATCCACCCCATTTTTATTTAATTAAAAATGCTCAATTGAATTTGACAGAATCGTTTTGAAAATTTGATTTAGGTGAAAGTAGTTCCGTTATCACCTTTTGACCTCCGGCTTATGGTTGAAGTTTATATTTTTGTACCTAATAAATCTGTTTTCCAGATATCTTATTGAGTTAGGCGAAAAATGATTTAGTGCTTCCTAAGACAAACAGCCGTTTGTATTTTGTATTTTCATCAATTGTAATATTATCGTAATCGAAAAAAAGTTTGTAAATTGGTTCATTATTTGGAAACAAAGCAAATGGTTCTATTTTAATTAGTGATACAACAAATGTAAGTACAGTTAACGAAGATTCAAATCAATATCTTGATTTTTGATTCTGTGGTTATGAGTATGTAATGTCAGAGAAAAGCTCAAATTAGAATTGTAATTCCAGTCTTTCATAAGTCAAGATTGATTCATTTTATATGAGATTCTGCTCGAAATTACATCCCTTCCCAAAATACATAATCTCCTATAATGGTCCTTTTGATATTAACTTCAAATGGCAGCTAATTGTGTGTAAAAAGATTTGTTCATTCAACAGTTGGTAAATTGCTTAAGTTGATCTCAGGCGTTTAAAATAAGATTAATTGTGATGAGAATAAAATGATCTATGTAACTCATATCAAATTCGGTGATTTGCTATTAAAAGAAAAAAAATTAAATTTGCACAAAATAAGGCATTTAAGGCTCAGAAATGAGACACTGTCTCAGGCATATTAAATAATAACTTTCTCCTAAAAATATATTTCGCATCTATGGTCAGTGCTCTGGGCTTATTCAAAGGCAGAGACGTTTATCTATCTCGAAAAGGCAATTATTGGCATTCAAAGTCGGTAAATTTGGTTCGCAACGATAATAAACGTGTCATACTTTACTGCTTTATTCAATACTATTAATTTATTACCATTACTGCTGAACTCATTTAAATTTGAAAAAAAATTTAAAAGGCATTTCGAAAGTAGAAGTATATCAAGTCGGGTCAAGATAAAGTAAGGAAACGGACCACACGGAACGATTTGTGCTTGCTAGTGTGACTCCATAGGAAATAAAATGTTGGATTTTAAAATGCAAGCAAAATGCTATTTTCATGCAAACAGGGTGAATTGAACATGGTCTTCAATAATACGCAGGAGATTCCCCCAAATAATGCCATAGACCCAACTAGATTGGGAGTCGAAATTGAAGTATTCTAGAAAACGTCAAAAATTTAATCGTCCAGTTTAATTTCAAGTTGAACTTGATTAAAATGTAAATAGAGACTAACTTAAGCAAGTAAAGCGCCATTTTTATTGCAGCAAAATTAAGAATCTCACAAAATGTTTTGATAAATAAATCTCAGATTTTCGATCTAATGAATTTTAATCGGGATGAATTCTGATCATTCAATTTGTCAATCCCTTCATTTATACACAGACTTTGACACACCTGATATTAATCTTGACTTCATAACAGGTTTTCTACAAAGTTTCGGTAACAAAAAATGACAAAGGGGAATAACTCAAATGGCAAATTGGAGACGAAATCGGAATCTTCTTCTTCTCATTCGAAGAAATCCAATGATTCGTTAAATGAATTTGTTTCAAAATTTTTACCAGGCAAGCAATATTTATTATTTTTTCCCAAATTCACAAAAAAATCTTCATTTTTAATACACAATTATAGATTACTGCGATATGTACCACTCGGATTTAGAAGACGGGCACCAGCAAATGAAAGAGATGTTCGGTAGAGCGTTTTCGTGTTTGCTCGATTAAATTCCCTCGAATATAATTTGTTTACATCAACACATTTTTGTTGGCCAAATCTCTTAAAAAAATCATTGTTACTATTTAGATGATATGGAACAAGAATTAGGGAGTAACCTTTTGACTTTGCCTACGATGCCACAACAGTGCTCCGCGACACCAAATGACAACACCTCTAACATCCCTCGAAATGATGAGCAAGTTTTATATCCAAATTCGGGCAAAAATTTAACTAATCCAAAGTATGTCACATTTTTTAAAATATGAATATATTAAATCCGCTTAATTGGCGTTAACTTCAAAAAGAATGAGAATAATGCGGCTTTCTATTATCTGCGACGTTTTTTTGGCAAACCCTTTTATTCATGAGATGATAACATGTTTATTTGTAATAAGCTAATTTCGGGTAATTGCATCAATTTACAGATTTTAAGTTTATTGTACCCGTGCGATCTTCCTACCTTTTAATAGAGATCGCGGTGTTGTCTCTAACTGGTGACCTCAGTCACTCACTCACTGTCAAATCGACGATTCTCTCTTGACCAACTCTCCAGTCGATTATTTTTATTGCCTCAGCTGCAATTTTAGATCCGAAAACAGAAATGAGTTTGAAATCGACTTCCAGGCACTTCATGAACAGAATATGAATTCGACAACTTCATTAGGTATGCCAGTTTGCAAAATTTTGTTTCCATTACTTGATTTAAATGAAACTTATGATGACACCTTTCCAAGCAGTTCCATCTCTTAACCCCCATAGTAAAAATTATTTCCTTGTCTAATTTTGAAAGACATTTAGTTTAGAAATATAGTTGTAAGTCTGAATATTTTGGGACATTTCAAGAATGGTTAATTTGTTGGCTTGGCTTAGGTTAATGCATAAATTTAGCTATTGAAACTCGATATTTAACGACAGTTAGAAATGATTTGTCTATTATCCATGCATATTTGCTGACGTGAATTCAAATATAAGTGCTTTGAGTAAGAAAGAGTCATATTTGAACTGGTTGTTGTACTTTGTTTCCTATATTATTGTTCTTAAATGTATTCGATGAAATGCTTTCATGTTCACGGTTCTTTGCTAAGTTTGCTGATCCAGATCTCGAACAAAATTCTAATTTTATTTATCACTTTCATCATAATTCGGTTATTATCTCGTTGGCGTACGTATATCTTGGATGAATTTGTTCCGCTTCAAAAGTGATGAAGCTTTTAAAAGTGGAATTCGTAACCCTGAGAGGTATCTGATACAAACATGATTTGCCTATGATTTAATATTCAATCTTACATATATTGCTGCAAATAAACAACTACTAACTATGGATATGACGTTAAAAGAGCCTGTTATCCACATATTATTTATATTTTTAGCTCCCTTGAACAAGTTCAATTCTATTTTAGACAATGACCTTCCAACTAAACATGGTCCTTTAGATGTAGTTGATGAGAGCATCGCAAAAATGAGTAAGGAAATCACAAATAAAGAAAAGCGCTTATCGTGTGATAAATGCAAAATGAAATTTAGATATCCAAGTCAATTGGAAACTCACAAGCGCAGACATAGTGGCGAAAAACCATTCGAATGTGAATCTTGTGGAAATCAATTTATTAGAAAATCTGAACTGAATTCTCACAAATTGGTCCACACTGATGAAAGACCGCATGAATGCAGAAAATGTGGAAAAAAATTCAAACGGCAGTCAGATTTATCTCAACATATGCGTACCCATAGTGAAGAAAAACCCTACTAATGTGAAATACGCAAGCAAGCTTTCAAGCATACACATCATTTGACTAGATATTTGCGCTCTCATAGTGAAGAAAGGCTAACAAGCATTCAGAATAAATATAATTTGACTGTTCGTATGCGTTCCTATACGGGAGAGAAAAACATACAAATGTAGTGAATGTAACAAAGGATTTTTAACTAAACAAATATGGAAAACCACTTGCTGATGAAAAGACCTTGCAGATGTAAAGTATACGGAATACGTTATAAGAATCTAATCTACTTGGAGGGACATATGTCTTCCCAAAATCGAAATTTACCTTTCAAATGCAATGCATGTGAAATGGGTTTTTCAAATATAGATGATTGGAATTAATGCGAATGAGCGCATACTTGTGAAAATCAATAGAACTTCGAAGTAAATGGGCTGAGATATGTTGTAAAGATTTTGTTCTTTTTGATAGTGCAACAACACTATTTATGTGATAACCATCCAGAAACAAAGATGGGAAAAGGTAAATCTTTCGAAATCGAAATTTAAATGCACGCAAATGGACACACGGAGATGAACTTTTGCAAAGGTTTTATGGATATAGATTGAGACTTCGGAGTAAATTCAATTCGAGTTCTCCAATAAGAGCAGAAATCCATTTGTTAAAATTATGTTTGAAGCATTTCTGTACAACGGGCCATAACGGGGCACAAATGAGCCTTTAATTTGCAGAAATACATCCCATTTGTGTGCTATGCTTGATGACACCTTCTGCAATATCAACAGTACTGTCTTGATTCAAGTCAAAGTAATCGTATATATCCATAACAACTTTTAATCTTTTTTACTATCTAAAAATCCATTTTGATTTTTAAATTTCCTTTTTTGGATACTTATAACTTAATAATAACCAAGCAATATTGCATTCTGCCTAGTTTTTAATTTAATCTGATGTCCTAATAATGTCGTCGTCAGTTAGTGTCTTCGTTTTCTTAAAATTGCATTACTTATAATCAGTGATTTGTATTGAAAGGAGTAGTTTTTACATGGATATAGGATAGAACCATTATATAATATTAAGAGAATTCCAACAGCTTGGGGTTGGTCTAGATATGCCATGTCTGATTTTCAACTGATTTTCATCTTAATGAATTTCGTTGAATAGAAGCACATTTAAGCCTGCTAATCGTTTATAGTGATTAATAATAGAAATTGATTTAGTAATTCGTTTGGTTTTAAATAAATAAATAAATATATATATATATATATGAATCGCGTATTAGTGTGATTTGTCCCACTAGATCAGCAAACAATAATGATTGATATGAGGTTGGTTCAATTGGTATTGGAATGCTACTTTTGATTGACTTTCAATAAGTAATCATCTAAGATGAAATATATTCTTGATATGTTCTTAGAAATGGCCGAATAATGCAGATCTCAATGTTATTATTTACCCTTTAATTGCACTTTAATCGAACACTTCTGAATGGTGTGAAAAAAGGAGACCAAACACCTAATGATGGAATAATTTTTCTAATTCATATTTAAGTATGATTTCGAAAAAAATATGATAAATATTTTTAAATTTCGACTAAGTCCTGGTTTTGGTCACAACGCACTATTTCTAGTGTCATCATCGGCAGCAACAATTGCATCATTCCTAAAACATCAACCAAGATGTCATGAAACTCTAAGTAGGTCGATAGGCCTAGATTCACAAACATGTTAGAAAACGAACTTCCTGCACGTTTGATCAATTACAACCACCATCCTGACAAACTCTGCAACAATATCACAAATATCATGATCTGATGTGCAAAGAAATGTATTGTAAATGGAAATTCAGAACCCTATGGATTTTGTATATGTCTCTTTAACATGAATGTATCACATCGATTCTTATGATTAAAATTATTTTGAGAAAAACTACGACTAAATTTTTGCGTTCTGCAAACTTTGAAAATCCAACCCCCATTTGCATTCAATATTGGCTTATTTATAGCACGTATTCAATCAGTGTGGAAACCTGTTAATCATTTGTCAAATATTTTATTTACTAAAATTCCCATGTCCTCTTTGTTGGTTTCCGACTACAGCTCAATTGACATTTTTTATCGTTACATAGAACAAATATCTAAATTTGAATAAAACCATTTCCATGAATTTAAAAATATAAGATATATGGCAATGCATTTCATGGAATGTGCATATATAATCAGTTAGAACTAGCTTACAACTCCATAGTTAAATAAATGAAATATTTGAATAATAAATTAAGGTAATTAAATGCACTTAAATGCCATATACATGTGGGTTATGAATATATGTACTGAGGATATATTGAGGAAGTATTGTGCGAACCTTGGAACATTCCCTTGTTGCGAAAAATGCACAAAGGCATTAAAGTTTGAGAATATTTAAAACATATCTTAGTGAGCATTAAAAATTGAGCGTAAATTTGGAGAGCGCGATAGACTTACCCCCACGTGGTGCAACCTGGACAACGTATCTTCGTACGGCAAAAAGGTATATCACTCGCATTTGATTTGACTTCGATTTATTATGATAAGCTTGATAAAAAGCTA